TTTCAGTTTGTTCTTCCCCGATACTTAACTTGCATTGACTTATACTTAGCGATTTGAATTAGGGAATAAGAGAGTAACCACTGATCTACGCCTCAAATTTCATCTTTCAGTTTTCAAAACATTGTAACGTATCTGTTATAGTCACTAGAAGTAAAAAAACTTGAAGTTGATCTGACTATGACGCATTTAGCATTTGAGATGTTTTAGGAGTTTGTAATCTTCTATTTTCATATCTAGAACTGAAATTGCATTTTCAAGAACTATTACTGTGACTTATTCTCGTAGTTGTCACCTGTGGAGACCCTGGGTTGCCTTCAAACGGGGAGCGCGTCGGATCCGAATTCACTTATGGAAAGATTGTAGCATATGACTGCAATCCTGCCTTCCAAATTAAGGGCAGTAGGGAAATCAAATGCCAAATCGATGGGACTTGGTCTGGAGCACTTCCTAAATGTGAAGGTGAGTTATCTCTCTTGTAATATTCTGCAGGAATTCACTCATCCACTTTTTGAATGATTTATTCATCCAATCGTTCGGACATTCCCATTCATTTTTGCACTTATTCATTTACTCATTTATTCACTCTTTCATTTTTTCCTTAGGTCTTCTTACCCATCCTTCAGTCATTCGTTCGTTCATTTGCTCATTATTTATCAATTCTTTTATTAATTTTTTTTAATTTTTTGTGTACGATGAGAACATCAATTTTTGATGGCCTCGAATTATTGGAAAAATGTTGGCACCGTTCCAATACTGTGTGAATCCTGTTAAACAAAATATGGGAGTTAGAAAGCCAAGCTAGATGACATGATGATGGTTCTCAACTTGTTATTTTGAACATTTTATAGGTGATACAAAGCATAAACTCCCTTAAGTACAACGCTTGAAGGTCCTTAAAAGCACTACTCGGTAACACGTACTCTGGGATTATTATTTTTAACGCTTTCTTCAGCTGCCACTAACCTCGACAATCGTTGTCAAAAAGCGACGGTGAAGTTGAAGTGACTTACCAAATTAATTGATTTCTTAACAGCTTCATCATGTGGCGGAGAACTCGTTGGTCCTTCCGGAAGTTTTAAATCTCCAAACAACCCCAACAGCTATCCAGACAATGCTTACTGCCGCTGGAAGATAAGCGTGCCTTCTGGCAAGAAGGTCTTAGTTACATTCAACACGCTAAAAACCCAGAAGAACAAAGATCTGGTAGAAATATATGACGGTGCTTCCAAACTACTTATTACCAAACTCTCTGGAGTTTATTCCAAACCAGTTTCATTCACGTCCGAACGTAATTCAATTGATATCCGTTTTGTGTCTGATGGTAGTGAGAACTCGGAAGGATTTTCAGCATCCTACGAGCAAGTCAGTAAGTATAGTTTCTCATTCTACACCAATTCTCTACTTGAGATGCAACGACCGTTTTCCCTTGAAGAGAAAGTTTCGTCCGGCTTTATAAAATCATTTCTTCCTCATTAAAAAAGAGGCAATCTTTTTATCAGGACCCGTCCAGCCCCGCTCGCGTAATCTCATGGAAAACTATAGTGAAAGCTGACGTGTCCGGCCCTAGTGCACTTGTTCCGCTTTGTTGCAAAAGAAAAAAAAAAAAAAAAAAGATTGTATCAGCTTATATACATCTAGTAAGACAATTATTACTACTTATCAGCCTGCGGAGGTGTAATTTCTGCTCTGGACCAGACTGTGATGTCACCCAACTTCCCCAGTGACTATCCAAACAGTGTCACTTGTGTATGGTCTCTCTCCCTTGGTGTACCCTTCCAGTTGGAATTTGAGAGCTTCAACACACAGTCTGGCTACGATCTCTTAAAGGGATACAGCTCACTAACTTCCTTTACCTGTAAGTAGTTATCGACAATGGTTACTTTTGCTTATTTTATTTTATTTCATTTATTTTTTGGTTTAAATTTTCAGTTTATTTTTAGTTAACTAAAAAAAGAGCTTGTAGCACGGCGGAAGAAAATTTCCACGTTATCACCTCGTTTTGTGGGTCCTCTCTCTTCGTACCTCGAGGGCGGTAGAAGACAAGCCTGGTAACGGGGATAATCCCTTGTGACCCCATTACTTCTTATTTTTCTAATTACTCTTCCATAGCTAATTTCTTGAATAGTAGCTCTTGTTATCACTGTCATCAATTTGTTCTTGTTTCAGTTAATCCTTGCTTATTTGTTTCTATCAACAGCGAGCGATCTCGTATTCGATTTCGACGGGGAGAGGTTCGCGCTCCCACCCATACAAGCACCGGATGGCCAGATGTACCTGATATTCACATCCAATTACGTCGGAACTGCGCCAGGATTTAAGCTGACGATTAAAAAATATCAAGTGATCGTAGGAAAATAACTGTGTATTACGGGCCTGGAGCTATGAAAACGAAAAACTCCAGAGTATATCGTGCCATAGTGTTTTAAAACGATATCATCAAACGGGCTTTGTAAGAGAAATGAACATGAATAAAATATTGAAAACCAAAGCACAGTTGTTGTGAGATAATTACTTTCATCTGTATAACCCTCCCTTTTTTCCCTGGAGCTTCCCAAAGTCATCAAGTTACTCTGCCATTTTGATTTGATGTCTGAGTTCCCGGGAGACTGGGTCCGCTGCATAGAGGTCGTTGTGACGTATCATCCGAAACACGTCTCTTACGGCCTCAAATTTCGGAATTATGTAGTCTTGGTGAATTTCCAAAGTACTTCACGTCTACTATTTGAAGCTGGGTTCAAAGCAAAAATTGGGTTGAAAATTGAGCTGAAAGGTTATGGGTAAGAGTCCAGATCTGGAGAAGGCTACAAATTAAAGTAACAAATAACTTGAATAGATTGAATAATCAAGACCCAGCATCTGAAAACAACACTACAAGGTACAATCAGGCAACTCAAGTCAAATTTATAGGCAGGAGTTATGCAGCAACAGAGGTACATGCATACTTAGCCGTTGTTTGCGGCTTTATATTCATCAGTCTAGTGGTTTGTCACCGTCAGGCCTTATAGATTGTGCTATGAAGTACGTAGCATATTATGCTACCAGCATTGCTCGATCTCTTTACCAATTGCAAATTATGCTCCATTTTTTTTTCAAAATTAAGCTAATTTTTATTAAAGTATGCTTTTCAAAAACGAAACAAACCCAATCCAAATTATATAAATATATTGTTTATAACGCTTTATTTTAAGTTATATTACTTCTTCTGATAAAACATAATTGACTACTGCGCTTAAGACTAAAATCGATGTTTCTCTTCGACACCATTTTATTTCGTAAACGACAAAAGTATATACTTCCGTTGTGCCTGTTCCTCTAGACGAAGTTATGCCTATTCCCCTAGACATGGCAGTGACTGCAGACAAGCTACCTCGTCCCAGTTTATTAGTCTAGAGGAATAGGCTTCCGTAGTTGTGCCTATTCCTCTAGATGATGAACGACTCCTTTTTCCCCAAAGTAAAGTCAAAAACAGAATGAATCATGGACTGAACTTGAAAATAGGCAGTCTTAGAGACCAGAAAAGGCACGACTCTGGATATATTGCCTTCAATACTACTAAAATACTCTGATTATGCATGAAGTGCTTCTTTTGTAAAGGAGATGCTCGTTTTACCTAATTATAGATAATTATACTTACATATAGGTTAATTGACCACTCCCTGTAAGGGCTTTTCAGGGCCAACACCCACCCATCCCACCCCAGGGGAGGACATCCACCACAC